GCGATGGACGGCCGGCGTTTCCTCACAAGGGAAAACTGAGTTCCAATTAGAATTGCTTTAGTCTGAAAGCGTGTGCATCATAAAGAACATCCTAACATACTGTACATCGCAAAACAGAATAAAACCAGCTGCTGCCGACACGTAGGTAACTTGTACACAGCTCCACGGCACTGGATAACCCTCCATTACTGCGCCTTTCTAAGACTAAACACCATCCGTCGAAAGAAAATAACAGAACCAGGACTTATCAACCAGAATCACTCACTGAAACCAAGGGCGGACGGGAACATTACAAAAGGAGTCTACAAACACCGAGAGGGAAACAACTCACGCCCCGAATTCAAGCCACACCGAAGAAGGGCCCCTAGTTGTGAAGGCGTGTGATGACGATCGCTAATGCAGCGCCGCCTAGTGGCGCGCCAGAGTAAGTCCTCCACCCTACGTACTGTAACAGGAATCCGAGAGAGCGCATCGGTACCGCCCGCAAGCCCTGCGGAGTCTGAAAACGAGCCCTGCATAGAAACCCCTGCCCCAGCAGGACAGACGATACAGAAGCTGTCGGGGTGACTGTACTCAGCGCATTAAGCTCTGCCGCTGTGTGCGCCTCGTGGAGGAGAAGGAGAGGAGGGGAGGGCCCAGGCATTATTATTCATGGAGACCCTTAACGGGAGTGTTGACGGCAGGATTCATCTTGCCTGCCTGGGGCTCATGAAACATTTACCAGCGCGGTGCTTCCGGCACAAGCCACTTTGGAGGCAAAGCCCGCTTGCGCGCACACACTCTCACACACACACATTCGTGCATGAGCACAACCACACGCGGACGCTCAATCGTGATCACACAGGCCATGGTTATGGGAGTTGATAGTACATGACGCGGTCTTTAGGGGGCGCCACAGCTTTACAAAGGTTAAAGTCACAAGTCAATCCTCTAGAAATACAGCAGGGATGGACTCAAACCTGCAACCCTCTCGGCCTCAGACTAAAGACGGCAGAGAGCCAGTATTGCACCCACTGTGTTCAGTACAGCTGGGGTAGGTGCGTCCACACTCCTAACACTGATCCATTAATTAATTTCCAAATGCATTTGGCACCCCCTTCCCCCTCTTTTAATCTGCTTTATTGCCTCAACGGTGTTTCCTTCTGATTTATGGCATTTTATTTAATTTGCTTTTCAATTACTCTTGAGCCCAGTCCAGAAGTGTAATCAGGCTGTGGCTGCAGGTTTGTGTAGCTCCAACCCCTGGCCTGTTCCAGTCTCCTCTTCCTCCTCCTTCGTCCCCCTCCGGCAGGCCCCGAACTCTCCTGTCACCCGTGACTGACGGTCACCTCTTGCTGACCGGACTCTGGGTCACTGCTGCCGACAACGTCCGACACTGGTCACTACACTCGTGCGCACTGTCTCACACACTTACACACGCACTCCTGTCATTCAAACACACTCAAGACACACACACGTCACTCACACACACCCAGACCCACATACTCCTGTCACACACATACACACCCAGACCCACATACTCCTGTCACTCACACGCACCCAGACACACACACACACTAATGCACACACACACTGTCGCGCACACTCGCTTACTGAACTGTTATGGGATTAACTCAACAAAAAGCACCAGGCCAAAGAAGCAGCCGCAGCTCTAGGTATCGTGACACATCGAGACCTTATTCTTCATCTGCTTCTGCCCAGCCAGCCAGCAGGGTCTGCTCGCACTCAGAGACCCTGCCGCTGTGTCAGACGGCACGCCTGAAACACCGAGAGTCTGCGCACGCCTGGATTAGGAACCTCAATTCAGAAAGCTTTTCCTTCAAAAAAA